CATACCCCTCAGTGTCCCCCAGCCCCACTCACCTTTTGCTCCAGCATGCTGGGAAGGGAATTGCCTCTATCCATGCGTCCACGCTGGCCGTTCTGGGGGGACAAACCTGGTGTCAGAGTGACCCCCACCTCCCCAAAGGACTGGTCTTTCCCACCTGAACTGAAGGCAAGGTGATGGGCTCCAGCCTGGGGACTGGCAAACCCAATGTTCCCCCTCACAGCTCTCCCCTTTCCCTCCCGGGACACATCCCAGGGTGGCCGTGTCCTCCCCCCATGTACGTCACCCTCTCGCTGGGTCTCCATCAGCATCCGGACGAGCGCTTACCTGCAGGCCTGGAAAACAGAGAGGAGCAGGGCTCAGTCCCGCTGTGCCCCCCCACCTGGGTGACGCCAAGCCCCAAGAGGTGGTTTTCCACGCTCTGCTGAGCCTCGGCATCCCTCATCCCATGGGACATTCCCGCATCCCCTGATGCTCACCAGGGCTGCTCTTCTCGCTGCCTGCTGAGCTGAACTCTGCTGACTGCAGCTGAAAGGGAACAGGGGACAGGATCAGAGTGATGCCACCCCGGACCCCATCCATGGAGGTGCAGCACAGGAGCTGCCTGCACTCACCCGGGTGAGGGTGCTCCTGCCGGAGGCGGGCAGGGAGGAGCTCTTGTAGGTCCCCGTCAGGAGGTAGCAGAGGTGCAGTCAGGGCTGTGGGGCCTGGCAGGGTGCAGGCAGCCCGAGGCACCAGCTGGAAACGGGAAGAGGTGGGATACGGGAAGAGCATCATCCCACTTACATGTGTGGAAAGGCGTCCGGTCCGGCAGAGAGCGGGTTTTCCTCCGGATGGGAAGAGATTTCTCCATCTCCTCCTTCAGGATCAGCTTCCCAAGGTTGGAGGTGATCTGGGGGCAAAGGGGCATGAGCCAGGGGTTGGTGTCAGCACAGCCCCAGCCCCTCACAAGGTGCCCACCCGCTGTTCTGCCCCTCACCTTGCTCAGCTCCTGCTTCTGGAGCTCCCGCAGGTTCTTCATCTCCTCTGTCAGGTCCTCCTCTTCCTCCTCCCCTCTCTTTGAGGCCATCCGCCTCCTCCACTCTGTCTCTGGGGGAAGATGGGATGTTACATCCATCCTCAGCATCCCCACGGGGTCTTTGGGGGGGATACACCCCCTGGTGCAGCCTATTCCCTCCCCTGTCCCAGTTCCCCACCTACCCACTACAGCATACCCTCGACAGCCAGGGATGGGGGGCACGGCCAGTAGTCGGTCTCTATCTTGGCAGGCTGGTTGGGATCCGGGGGCTGCGCCGCCGGGAACTTGGAGGATTCGATGATCAGATCCTCTATGAGATGCTTCCCGTGGTGGGCGCTGGAGTGGTGCTCTGTGGGGCACAGGGAGGGTCAGGCAGCGCCCATGGGTGCTCCATCCCGTGGTACAGGCTCCCCCCTCACCTTTCTGCCTGGTCGGTCTCTATCTTGGCAGGCTGGTTGGGATCCGGGGGCTGCGCCGCCGGGAACTTGGAGGATTCGATGATCAGATCCTCTATGAGATGCTTCCCGTGGTGGGCGCTGGAGTGGTGCTCTGTGGGGCACAGGGAGGGTCAGGCAGCGCCCATGGGTGCTCCATCCCGTGGTACAGGCTCCCCCCTCACCTTTCTGCCTGTAGATTGGAGGTTTCTTGTATATGTTGAGCTCTGTTGTGTCAGTCTCTGCAAGGAAAAAGGGGTTTAGGGGCCGGGAATAGAATCATGGAATCATAGAATGGTTTGTG